CCGCCTTAACTGTTTGAAGTGCATCCAAGTGCCCGGGGGAACTTTCTTCATTCTCGTCGCGACGGCGCGGCGCAGCGTCGTATTCGCAGCAGGTGGTTACTTCAACTTTGACTTATAATTCAAAAATTCATCTGCCCAACTTGCTGTAACCCTATGCAATTTAAATGAGACACGAAGAGGCGTGAATTTAAATTCATATTTGACTGCCGTCGTCGCTTGCGCGAGTGCCGCAAAGTATATCTTTTCATTGAGATTTTTCCGAAAATGCGTGCCGACTGTCGGGATTTCGTAACGAACGATCGACCAGCCGTTGGAGCCATTTGTTGCCACATGATTCCGGACTAAATTTTATAAACGTATATCTATTATTAAAAAAAGGCAGTATTAAAAAAAAAGAAATTATTTATTAAGTCATCATTTAAAATTTTAAATTCACTGTCTAAACATCCACGAAGTAAATGTGGGAAGCTTGATAACGGATATATTTTTAAGCATCTGAAATTTGCTCTAGGAACATTTAAATCGTGCTCATTTATACTAATCTAAATATTTGACATATGCATTTCGAGCTCGAAATACATAGTAATTATTCAGATGCGAGGGTTAAATTAATATAAGCATAAAAATAATCGACCGATGAAATCTCAAGCAAGTGCCTGAGTATTTTATATAGAATCGCGATCACGAGCGTCAGTATCCACTCGAACGCCTCCGCTACTAATGTCTGAATAAATATATCTGTCGCGGTAATGGCAATTAATCGATCTTCACGGACGATGTCCAAAAGTGCTTCAGATCTGAACAGAACGGATAGAGTGACGAATACCATCGGTGCTCATCTTCGTCTCGGATTACACAAGACTTGTGGCTTAAAATATTCAAATTCTCTTATCAACGCCTTATTTTGCAAAACAATTCTTTTTAATGTACATTGCGTCTTGCTTTTACGATATCATTTTCTCTAGAGTAAATGCAAATTTGGGGGAAAAGTGACGCTCGTTTTCGCGAGGCACAGCGAAATTTCGTTTCGTAATGTGGAAAAAACCGGCGACGAGGATAACAAAATTAAGTAGTGCAATGCAATTGTATGTCAAGTAATATAATTGTATACTTTAAAAACGTAAAGGAATGATGATACACGCAAAGCAAAAGCGCAGTAAAAGTTGTGGCAAAACCGTCGCTGTTACGGCATTTGACGCGGAAGCGTTCAAACTTCGTTGCATTGTTACGTTATCAACATGAAAATTCGCGTTCTAGTAATAAATTTATTTTGCTTGCCAAAAGCTAATCCCGCGCCCACATGAAAATTAACGAGTAAATAACACTATCACAACACGAAATCATAACGTTCGGTTTACATTGTTAAATAATACATTGAATTAATTGTTGAATCGAATATTCGGAATACATTGAATCGAATATTGATAATTTAAATGAAATTAAATATTGTTCGTAGATGAAATTGCTAGTTAATTTGCGTCGTTTGTTGCGGAACATGTCGACCGTCGACCAGGACATAACGAGATAAAAATCGATCCAGTCAAAGTAAGTATTGCCAAACTTTTACAATTGTTTCATATTTATTTTAATGTTTAGTTCAATGCAAATAAATGAATGTTTTCGTATCAGCGTCGTTTCCGTCTGCGCTTTTCCAATAACTCGCGGATTTCCGCGTGCAAAATTCCGACGCGCATTTCGCTTGAAATTGATGCCTATAGAGATCACGAAACTCGAGAAACAGGCGAAAGAGGACGAGAGAGGGACGGAAAAGAGAAGGGGAGCGGAATTTAACGTCCCCATCGAAAGGGTCGATTCGTCGAAAGGGGCGACGCGCTGATAACACGACCGTTGAATGAATACGACAGACGGGGCGGGCGCATCGCGCCCTCCATGATCGCCTTTATCGTACATTATACAAACTTTGCTCGTCGCCGCCACCGCCGGCGCGGCCACCACCGCCGCCACCGCACCTAATCACCGAGTGATAAAACACACCGCAACGAACGCAGAATGGCCGCGCGGTGTTTCTCGCCCCGCGTTGCACCATACATGGCCATAAACGTCCGCTCGATACGCGCGGAGAATGCGTCAATGCGTTTACATTTCGTTGATGAAAGGCTTTTGCAGCGCCGAGCACACTCTGACGCTCGACCGATTTGTCGCAAGTTTCCGCGAAGGCATTCGAACGTAATCGGATACACGTGGGCTGATCCTACGCCAAACATGTGGGATGAGATGATTAATCGTCTTTTACGAAAGATACATCCCGGAAAAAAAGATCTTTCTTTTTCCTTCCGGTTTATCACATGTCTTTAAATTTGATAAAAGACATATATTTCTGTGGGTACGTTATGAAACATTGATCTCGAGTAAATCGTCCAATTGTAAGTTTCATATACTTCAAATTGACGCAGTTTTTCGCGCAATGAGTTTGCAGTTGAGTAGCAGTTGTCAAGAAGGCGGTGGGATATTTATGGACTTGATGCAAAAAAAGTAAAAATTAATATTTGTAAGTAATTTAATCATTCTGTCAAGAGAAGCCAAATTATTTATTTTCTTTAATGTTTTTTTTTTCTTTCATTTTATATTTTGACTTCATAATTCTATTAAATGTTTAATAGAAAAATATTTCGCAGCCAGTAAAAGGTCCTAAAAATCATTGTTAATATATGTGACAAGTAAAATTGGATATATCCAAAGTTATGCAGCGATAAATGTCATTTTGTTACTGTCCAGAATAAAGATATACGTACATCATTTTTAATATAAACATAGTTTATGATATATTAAATTGTGTTATGTTTGATGGAGCAGAGCAAGTATAAAAATTTAAAGGTTCTTTCCTTTCATCTCTTTATGTATCTCAATATTATAGGTGATTTTTGGAGTTTTAACAAAATTTTGTTGATATCTCGCCACGTGGAACCGCGGGCTTTATCTGTATAGGGATTTATGCCTTTGTAAGGCACACATCACGTTACAAAGGACATGTCCGTCGACAGCACACGCGTGCGACTGTGGAGGCCGCATCTTGTTACCAATTCACATGACATAATGTTTCACAGCAAAATCGAGTTCGGCATCGCATGCGTAATTCGTCACGACAAAATCGTACTCGAGATTCAAAGCTAACTCGACACGGGCCTCATCTTGCGTGGACGTTTGCAGCAATGCGCTCGCGACCGTATCTGTTGGGCGTGTAATCTTAACACATCTCATGATTTTACAATCTTATAATTACCCACTCGTGGCTCAAGCAATTACACACAAAAAAACGTCAAGAAACATAAACAATTTTTCTTAAAAATAAAACTTTTGATAGATCTTTTCCCTTATTAAATTGTCGAATATAATGTGTGTTTCAAGCAATTTAAATAAAGGAAGTTTTGCATTAATCGAACTTTTAAATAACTATTAGAGATAGTGAAGTTTTATCATAAAAAAATGTGTTAAGTGCAAGTAAACTTTTGATTCGAGGTTCAGTCAACAAGATACTTGAGAATTTAATTTGTAATGATTTATAGCTTGGCTTGAAACTCTGCGTGACGAAAAGTAAAATCCAATAAATTTGACAAAAAAAAAAAAAAAAAATATAAAAAAATATTGGAATTAATGTCTATCCCTAATTAAAAATTCTAAAATTCCATTCATGTAAACTTAGCGCAAAATTGATAACAATAAACATGTAGCTGAAATACACTCATGCAAGTGCTTCCTAATTGTGATACAGAAAACAACGTTATCACTAACTGGTACAAATAAATCATTCAATAATGATATTACCAACTGTAGTACCATTAGCTCAAGAGATAGCTTCCCAGGTAATACATGTTGCTTTCATTATATATTCGTTATATATTTGAACGCGTATGTAACGTTTTATGAGCGTTTGTAAGACATTTCGGAAACGTTTCTAAACGATAAGTAAGTATTCCCTGGTTATTATAATTGTCATCATATTGTCATAACTTTTTCGTTCTCCTCTCTTTCAGACTATTATATGCATACATCGTCTTCTTCTAAAAACTAAATGTCAGTTATAAGCGGTTATATAAGACCGCTTTATACAACTTATAGAATTTGCAACTAAATCCGCGACAGAATAGTGCAAATGTATATAATCGTGCAATACTGAAATTGTATATGTTTAACTTTAATATACATACTATTCTTTATTCTTAATTAGCGCAACTTTCTGATATAATTACTTTCATACAAACTAGAATAATATTGTATAAAATAATTTTGTCTGTAACACGTACGTTATTTGTAAATAGAAATATTTTTATTAAAATAACATACTTTTTTAATATAAATACTTGACTTTGTAATTATAGACTAGTTTGTTATAAAATATAATTATATAAGTGAAAAAAATAAGTTCAAATAATATAACGATCTTCTCATTTATTGGATAATAACTCCAGGCAGCAGCGTTACGTGATTTTTACGTGAGTTTTTGGTCAGTCGATCGTTACGTCAATTGTCCTTTTATAATCACGTAATAATGACGTCAAAATGTCAGGAATAAGTCACAGATCGATGACGATATTTCAAGACGTTAAAAAGACGTGACTTTATGATATTTTTGCCTTTTAGGTGACGTTTTAATAACGTCTTAATAACGTAGAGGATTGTAAAAATCAAAATTTTTTATAAGCAAAATTATAATTAACTAAGAAACGAGATTTGTTATAAAATACACACACATTTTATAACATAGGCAAAATTATCCATTTCCTTTTACTTTTGTTTTGTTTGATATACTTATAGAAAAAAATTAGAATAGATATATTAAGTTAAAAATTTCAATATAAGCAATTATGCCCGTTAAATTAATTACTGATTAAGTTGATTCGAGTACGAGCGAACAAATCTATTGCGTAACTCTTACGTTACGTTATAACGTGTAGTGTGTAATATATATAAGTCTGTGCCGTCTGTGGTGTGTAGTGTAGTGCGGAGTGTGCGGATACTGCGGATAACCAAAGTTGTGACTTGTGGTGAGCACGTGTTGCCCGTGTTGCCGCGCGAAGTCCTGAAAGATCATTAAAAAAAAAATGGATATATCGCGGTCATCGCAATACATAATCCGTGATGCACAGCAGCAGGATACATTGAAAAATATTTCGCCGAGATACGAGGCTATAGCGGAACAGTATCGTATCATCAGGAATTGGAGACCACGCAGCGACGTGTAACATAACCCCATTACGTTACTCTCTATTTAAAAGCCGTGCAACGCACACACCCGTCGTACGCGTTCGCGCGAACGATTCTATTTTGTCGCTCGTAAAATTTTCCTCACAAAAAATGACATGACGCCCGATAAAAAATGGTAAATTTTATTTAGATGGCCGTTGACAACCGGACGCGCTATCCTGGTCAGCGTGGCATCGCTCACCGGTGTGTACATTAATTATCGGTTCAGGGCGAAGCTAAAGCTCCGGGATTACGGGGCTCTCCCTACGATGTTAGGTCTCGCGGTAACACCGGCTATAGCGACAGGTCTCTCTCATACAGAGGTATTGGCGAGTGAGAACCCAATTGAGTTGGATTGAGTTTGATCGAGCAACCCGAACAAGAAGATAATACAAAGTACTATGCATATTTTTCAGTTTATCCTGAACAAACTGTTGTCATTAGAAATATCTTGTCCTTTGTGCTTGGAAACTAGATCAGCCTTGGCGCAAACTTGTACCGGGCTGTTTCTGCCACTGATAATGGCACCGGTTGCAAACTTTCAAGTAAGAACTTGACTTTTTTTACACGTTACTGTCATGTTCTTTCCAATCTGTTTATTACGCTACTTATTATATTGGACTCGTAGATCGCTGCTGGCAGTGGAGTATACAATGTGCCGCACATAACTGACGTAAGAAAAACATTCGGCACTATCCTGTCAGCCTATCAGCCGTTGTTCCCAAAAATTGCAATGATTTTCGTTTTTCAATCACTGCTAGCTGGTTTTATAACGTATTTAGAAATCAGATCTTTCCTTCGCATTATAGACATACAGTATCTAATGCAAGAAGAAAAGAAGCAAAATTTGAAACAAAAAGATGATTTTTAAGTTTCGTGTACAATATCGTTATATATAACTATAGCAAAATATATAAATTGAAGAAATAATCATCGCGACGTAGATTTTACTCCATTTTATATTAGATCAGTATTTAATAATAACATTGTAAGGACAACGAAAGGATCATAGTATGTATATATATTTCATAGAATATAAAATGTATTTTTATTTTATCATTGACATAATATTATAAGATGTCTATTTATAATCATTCACTGATATTCTTGTTTTTATTAAGACAACTATGCGTCTCGTACATATCTACTTCCTTTTCTCGAAATTAATCCAATATCTAGGCACCATATGATTTGTTACAGTAATAAACGCTTTCCAACTGTTTAAAAAGATTGCTGCTTTTCAAATATTGATGATACATACGACTTTTCTGATTCAAGAGAATTTTCCCATACAATGTTGACTCTTCCGCTTTATTTAATATAAAGTTTAACTTATACAATATCGAGTCAAACGTATGTATTGTTTCATATTGTTAAATGTAATACGAATTTACTTATAGGCTCAAGTAAAATAGCAAATTCGATATTTTCGATTACTCCGATTAGATACATATTTCATCATGGAAATCTGGAAATATTTGACATAGACTTCCAATATTTAATAGACGAGAATTACGATCGAAGTCAAATTACGCTTATCCCTCTATTATGTTAAACGGACTACTTGAACATCATATTATTAATTAAATTTGGGAACTTCTTGAATTTCTACCCCAGCTTGTATTCACAAACGAAAATGTAGCATCCCTATTTTACATGCCTATGTTAAATTTTCTAGATATTTTAATCAGAAAAAAAAAGAATCTTTTCGTATGATTTGGTTTCCAAAGTCAAATTGGGCACAAGTGACCGCAGTTTTGATTTGCCAACTACTCTAGAGTTAAGTATATTACTGGCAGTTTACTGGACGCGTTATACAGGGGCCCGAGTAGCAAGGAGATCCCAGGAACTATGTGTATGCGATAAGAATATATAAAAGATAACACCAGATGCGGACGCATCAATTCAACCAAAGTACAACAATGTGATCTGTTTACTCTCTTTCGGTAGGAGTAGGATTTGTATAATACCTACAGCAATGATTATGTTGGCAGTGAATGAACTCAGCTATCATATAGCCGTGGAATCTAAGAAGCAAGACAGTTTAATATAAAATATGCCTGAACTTCTATTTATATGTGACAATGTTGTTAAACATACCGCGCATTTAAGGTACACTGACAGAGATTTTCCGGTATATCGTTTCCTGTGCCATTTCATCAAATGCACGTAATTCATAACTCAATTGCATACATCTACAGCACATACAACTGCATTTTTGCTCTTTTCCATATTATCTTTATCTACTTTTAAGTGGGAAAAGATTTTATCTGATGTCATTATAATGAATGAGTCATTACCATGATTTGCACAGCAATCAACATCACAATGAGATCGTCATTTTTGTTTTAATGTCTTAAATCTATATATTGTGTCTATATATTGTATCTAATATTTTTTTTTGTTAGTTGTAGTATAGTCCATTGCTTATTTACAGTAGAGGTCCCATTCTAAAATTCATTTACTGATGTAAATTAAAACAAATCATAACAGTTTTTATTAGATATTGTGACAAATTTGCATCAAGATAGAAATTCAAAATTTTAGAAATTTAAAAATAATCAAACAATAATTTTATTAAAGTAAATTATTGTTAGTAGCGAGAATCCTTTGCTGTAATAAAACTTTGGACTGTAATCTAAACTTGCCTCAAACTTCATTGTAGGAATGGTATAAATATGCAACATTAAAAATTTACAAAATATCTTCATGTCACTTTTGTGTTTCATTGTACAACAATTTGCATATATTAATGAAAACAGATAAGAGAGAAATCAATATTCATAAATAAGTCGCAGTACAAGACATAACAATTTAAGAAAAATTTTTATTTATACCATTGATGCAAAGAAATTCTGTTCAGATGTTATAGTGTTATTACGTGTCAGATATTACGCAAATATGAATAATTAACGATTATATTAGATCTTAAAAAGAAAATAATAATTTTATCCGTTCTACATGACAATGCATTCATACTTTACAGAATGCCCCAATTAAATTTTTTCTCGACTGTTAAGAAAATCAAAGTATTTCGTTGCTCGCATACATTTGTTCGCTGATAATTTTTATCTGCTTTCACGAGCAACGTCAACAGGCGACCATGACGAATTTGTGCATTATCGAATGTGGATGGACTAATATAGTCACAATTAATTATACAGACAGTATTCGTATTATGTATTCGAAAATTCTTCGTGTCCCTCCTTTCACAGATACTAATGAGTGTCTAATGTCCTAGCATGATGGCATAATGGCAAAGCTAATCGTATAGTATTTACATTTTATCATAACGATCAATGGCTAGTCAAATGTTCGACAGCAAACTGAAATTGCATTGTTACTCGCAAATAGATTATTTTTGTTTCTAGTTCAAATTTAACAATCATAAAATTGTACAATACGAGAACAAGAGTCTATCATATACAAATGTCTCTATGCCGATAATATTATTTATACTTACAACAAATGTTTTGGAAGAACATTGCCACCATACTCAAGATTGTATTTTTCCGCATTTCTTTTCACAGACGAATAAATCGCACAAGAACCGATAATGAGAGAAAGAGAGAAAAAAAATAGAGACAATAAATGCTTGCTGAATCAAAATATATAATAGGCACCAATTCAAGCAATAGAAGATGTACATAAGAGCCGCCTTTAATATTATATTCTTTTATGCATTTAATTCATTTCTTTGCATTACAAAAGTTTGTAAAGAATAACGATACAGCGTACTGAAGGATGCGGTACGCATAATTCCATCAGAACGGTGGATAGTTTTGCATAGGTACCACAACCGGAGGAATTGGTGGCAGCGGAAGTGTGTGTATGAATGTGGGGTGATTCGGCTGAACCATAACTAACGTATGTTGTTGATTGGCCATGAAAGAGTTGTATTGAGTGGTACTATATTGTGGATACGGCGCGTTAACTGTGTCCGAGATATTTTTGTAACAAAACGTGCCTGGCGTTTGGCAAGGTAGGGGCCCCTGGATAGGACCCCAAGCCAGCTGCTAGCATCGTCGGTTATGCCAATGTGTCATGTAGTCTTGATAGCTTACAGTAATCTTCTCGCTCTGGTATCGCGTCAGCTTCACACTGCGTCTAATATCCGGTGTAACTAAGCCCTTGTAGCCACCCTTATGTAATAGCGAGTCTATGGTTTGTATCTGGTCCCAACCTATTTAAAAAAAAATCATGATTTAATAGATGAAAGCACACATTTAAGAAATATGACGAACAATGAACAGCTTTTCAACGATCCACAGCGAACATACATATTTACCTTGTTCAGTCGCAACATCAGGTAAGTAAGTAGCAGTTCTCTTGTTGCCTTTTTCATTATGGAATTCTATGCGAATCCCATGGACTCCTATCTCCCAATCTAAGTAGTCCACGCCGTCTTCAAAATGCCGCAATATAGAAACGCTTACATGTAAACGTGGAAGTTCCTCTCGTGTTATAGGATTGAATCGTGAATCCTTGAAAGCACTACGAAACACAATCGGTCATTTAAAAGCGTAATCCAAAATTCTGGCCTGGCCGATTTAGAGAATACATGTTACCTGGTAGTAGCATATTCCCTAAGTCCTGCATGTAAGTGCATGGCATTGAATGTACCAATACAGCCGCGTAGTCGCATATCCTTTCCGATAGTCCATGTTACAAACAAGGGACTGGAAAGACATGGAGAAGATGAGTTAACGAGATCACCTCAAACCGAACATTATTTCATTTTTATAAGAGAGCCTGTGCTATAAACTAACTTCTCAACAATTTTAATTACGCAAGTACAGAAAAGTGTTACATAAGCAGGCTCTTCTTAAATAAATATTGAAAAGGTGTTTATATCATCTCTACAGTAAACAGTTTGCGTAAACATTAAAATGCATTACACTAATGATCAATAATCATCTTCTAAACAAGAAGAGTAAAATAGAGCAGGAGTGAGAAACATAGGGGAATCGTGATATCAATCTCTATTGAAGATCTTATTGTAAGGGAGCTGGGAAACATAAAGAAAAACAAATTCTAAAAACGTTTATATGTCAATAAATTATTCAGAAGCAAAACGCTGGCATCTCGCGGAATAACCTCGGTGGAAAGTCAACAGCACGAGACGGAGCAGAAGGTTCCGAAAATATAAGACGCGTCCTTCAGAAGAGGGAGACGCATGCCGAGTACCGACGACACCGACGTTCTCGTCGTCTTTCCTCCCTGCCCCCCCCCCTCCCCCCGCTCCTCTATTCCGCGACAACGATAGTTGAAGACAAAAGCAGTGGCGATTTCAACAAAGAGACGCACTGGCGTGGATGGTGGGAGAAAAAGGAGAGCGATGGAGAGAAAAAAAAGGTGCCACGATGCAGGGGAGGCCGAGAGGGAGGCGGGGCAGGGAGGTGGAGCGATGAAGGCGCGCGTGAGAGAGAAAGATACGGCACGCGACGCATAGTCGGGGACAGGGAGGAAGGGATACGTTGGACGCTGAGCGCCGAGGTGACTATTGTGACTAGCTCAGTTAGCTCGGTACGATGTCTCCAACACTCACAATGCTTCGTTGCTGAAGTTGGGCGGTTTTGGTGGGTCGAGTTGGTGGAGCTGGCAGTAGAGGACGTCGAAGCAGTAGAAGCCCATCTCGGGCTGAACGATCGGCGTATTACGTATACGCGTGCCGTTCGACAGCATCGCTGTGCCGTTGCATGGTACGCTCGCGGAATTGTTGAGCTTCTGCTTTTTCGTACCGCAACAGCCGGCAGCCATGTTACCGTCTCGACCGCCGTCGTCGTCGTCGCCGTCGACCACTGCGACCCGCACTGCGGACACGAACGGTCTACGACCCGTATACGTCTCAACACTCGTCCGACCGTCGCGGCCGCCGCCGTCGTCGTCCTCGTCGCTGCCGCCGTTGTCCTCCTCTTCGTTGCCGTAGCGTGCCGTGTCGCGCGCGCGCCCCGCCAGATGGCGCGGCGCGCGCTAAAACAGCTGTTTCATCACCCGCCATTTTCGCCGTCCCGTCTTTCCGTGATTTCCGTCGTCCTTTTCGCGCCTCCAATACGATCGACCGGCGTCGGTGCGACATTCGTTTATTCGCTCATCCGCGAGTCCCTTCCGCGCGAAGCGATCACTGACATGCGAGGCACCCTTGTGTAAAAATTTATTTATCGCGCCTTCTCTCCAGAAAGAAAAACTTAAGTTTCGCGAATTTGACGTTTTAACATCGGAAACCAGGAATATGAAAAAATTAGATGATTCTCAAATGAGTAACAATTTCGAATTGTTTTAATAGTTAATAGTTAATGTTAAGTTTTAATAACAAATAATAAGATAAAATAATCACATGTAATAACAGAAATAAAAAACTTGGTTTTTTTAATATAGTATATATTCGCACAAATACGTATAGTTTATTACAAATTCCATAAATCAGAAAAATATTTTCCGGTTATTATTCGAAATTATTATTCGAAACAATTCTAGAAGATACAAAATCTACTATAACAGAGCTAATTACTCATAATAGTATTAATTGCTATAAAATAATTTATCTACTTTTAACTGTTTAAAAATATGCACGGAAAACAATCGGTATTTTCCATCGGTTTTAATCCAGCGAATTTAATCTTACGAATTTATAGGAGACTAGCGTTCTGAGCAAGTGAAAACGACAAGCTCGCGCGAGCGAACGTCTTAAATTTTAATTCGTATTTTTTTTTCCCGATTTCCCCGCATCCATACGCCGCGCGATCACTTACCGCGACAGCTGCGAGGAGACGTCGATCCCATCACGCATCCCCATTCCCCAGTCGCGTCTACGAGGGTGGGAAGCGACGGTACCACGCAACTACGCCGCACATGGAGCGTAGCGAGAGCCGGCGTGAAAGAACGCGAACGAACTACGCCGTTGTTGGAAAACGACGCGCAATGAGACGCGCGATCCCTCACGGCTTCGCGATTTCTCGCGCGAAACGAGATAAACTCATCGGGGGAAGAAAAACGTACACCGATCGTCGAGATCTCGTCCGGAACGCGCAATATGTCGACGCCCGTGGCGAACAAGAGACCGCGGCGGTCAAAGGGGATTCACTGTCAATTTCCCGGTACGGAGAATTGTCACGGCACGTAACTGCAGAGACGACGTGGTCGCCTAGTGCGCGCCTCGTCTACACATGGAGAACGTGTCGAGTTGTGTGGGATTCGATGCCGCGGCTGATATACGCGCGTCTACGACGCGACGCGGCTCCGTGCTCCGATCAGTCTGAAGTAGTTCGACTACTCCGACTGTGCGTCGCGACGCCGGTCGCGTCGCACTCGCGCGCGCGATACTATGGCGCCATCTCACAGACGTTCCATTGCACAATAAAAATATATATATATATATAATATATACATATATAAATGCAAGAGAGCGAGAAAGAGAGAGAGAGAAAGAGACTTTGCAACATATAAATAGAATGTAATATATAAAGCCCACTTTTAGACATATTTTAGATTTTTAGACGATTCTATCCTGAAATCGAATCCCTTATCGCGTCATCAAAGCACCATTTACGTGCAACTTATTTCGTATATATAGTTATATTTCGAAAACTTATCGTGTTTAGAATAAAAAATCGCTTTATTACTTAAGTAATAAAAGTCTGCGATTTTTTTAGTTTTTTTCGTGACTGTTTTATAGCAGACTTTCTTGTTATAATATTTTGATTTGCGAATTTCGGGGAACTCTGTGTATACATATACATATATGTGTACAGTACAATCTCGCTAATCCGGCACTATTAAAAATCAGATTGTACCGGATTAATAGATTGTAAATTCAGAAGTTTCAAAATACCCAAATATTTTATTTGCCTCTTATATTCCTTACATTTCAATAGTCCGGCAAATCCATTAATCCAGCACAGCCTGGTTTTTAATAGTGCCTGATTAGCGAGATTGTACGTATATGTATATGAAACAAATGTAAAATATTTTACATACATGCATAGGTCTACATTTTTTAACTACGTGTTTTTACATCTTTTGCATTTGCGTTTCTTTGTTTTTAATATATAACTATTTTATATCGCACGTGTAATAGTTATATATTAAAGAAAAAAATTTCGCACAGAAAAGAGTAAGGAATAATGCGGAAAGAATTGATTACAATGATCCTCTTATGACAATATAAGTTTATTTTATTTTATCTTTTTATTGCAAAATAAAAATTGTTTGTAGTACCTTGATGTAATTTTTGCATGAATTCTACTGGTTTTTTAATCTGAGAAAAAGGTGAGAGAGAGAGAGGAGAGAGAGAGAGAGTTATGTTCGCTGTGTTCAACTTATGAATAAATAAAGAATAACCCGTGGGTCTCGCTGCATTATTAATTTACAAATGCAATCAAAGTGAGCACACATTCGCTTGATATCGTATTAATATTACACTAGTATGAGATACGATAAAAAGTACGATAATAAATATTAATCTGACAAGTATGCTTTGCTTTAGAAATTATTAATACTTTTCGTCGTGCAATCTCACGTTACATCGTATTAATTAGAGAAAGATTAAAAGTACGGTAATAAACTCTACGTGTATAAAGTGCTTACTCTACACAATTACAAAATGCGTATATCAAGTAGATTTTTATGGCAGTTTCACAAAATACAGAATGATTTCATTCAGCAGATTCGTACGATAATTAATGATTATCCATCTGAAATATGTTCAATGCGGCTATATATATTTAATTGCATTGTGATCAATGACTTACTTTTAAGTAAGTGCGTTTTTATTATATTTTCGTAAACTCTTCAGTAAATTCACGAATATACAATGTACTTGTATATCGCAAAATATAATTACACAACGCTAGATAGAATTATTTTCGTTCTCACCGGTGAAAATGCATCATTCACACGTGTAAACCGTAATAATGTCCATTATGCAAACGGAATTCCATAGACCGAATGAGCGCATATGTGAATCGACAAGTATGTGGCAGTTCGTTGGACGTTTATTATGCCGAGATTCACAAAAAGCAAGATTTTAGGAACTTGCTAATTATTATCGATGCAAAACGTTTTACGTAAATAACGCGTACTAATACGAATAACATAGAGAATAACACATACTACAACAAATATGAGAGATACAATAACAATTTTCATTTATTTCTAACGAGTACTCCTATCAGTATAAAAAAGATATAACAGGGCGAATAAATTGGCAGTGTTTAAAGCCAGCTACTAATACTATAAAGTAATAGCTGGCAATTCAAGGGAAGTAAGAATTAACGCTGAAAAATATACCATTAATTTAATTTATATCGTAATTGCAAGATGCGATTAAAATTTGTGAAATATATATCAATAGATGCACGGCGTAAGATGTCGCAAATGGTGCAACTATCACGAAATTATGAGATATCTTATCAATCGAATAACACAAACTCACAATGAGATCATTTATACTTTTTCACATTTACGTCTAGCTTACGTAACTAATATTTATATTTCTACTGTGTTATGATTCTTTTTTATACTTTAATAACTAAATCACAATTAACCACAGAAGATTTATGTTTCTTTGTCAAACTTGCTGTCTTTTTGATGCGATTAAATGCATAACTGATGTATTATATTTTAACGATCCTTTTTTGTAATACAAACTGATGCTCTATCTCTATAATGTAGCTAAAACATATTCTATAACCAATGAAAAACGTTAATAAAAATAAATTTATCAAAAACATCAAATTTTTCCAATTTTCACTTAATGTATAAGAATGTTATAGATATATCATATACATTATACAAAAAATGGAATGATTCCGACATTGTTTTGTACATTATATCGTATGAAAGTAGGCAGTGAATTTTATATGTAATCACTGTCTTATAAAAGTATTCATTGTCATTCTTATATTATCGATGCAAATACAAACAGATTCTTCACAATATAATGGCAGAGCTAATTGTTATAACGAAATGAGATTTAAATGCATTTATGAAAAAAGTAGAATTAATAAATAATATAGCTATTGAATAATTGAGTAGTAAATAATATTATTTATCAATCTGAAATCAAATTCAAATCGGGAAAATTGTTTTAATGCAATATTAAAGTACTTGAAAAATATATATCAATGCAAATATATCTTTTTATTAAGTTTAAAAACTTTTTAAAGTTATTACTTGTGATTTTTAATACAATACGCAACAATTAGGCGATGCCATCATACACGAAAGATCTATTATTATTCTCAAGACGGAGCACGCGGTACCATAAACGGGAGGCCGTGCACGCTAAGACACAGAAACACGCACCACTTTAAACAGTGGAAAATTGCGAGAAATAACCGCCTCCAATGTCATTTTCGCTTACGTACCCCGCGCTCCGCAGTATCCTGCGTTAAGAAGCGATGCGGTGGTCGAGGATAAACCGGTGCAGGCGGATAGGACGGACCTGCGTTATTCCACCAAAGGGATGGATTGTTACGTATCGGTATCATAACTGGGGTAATTGGAGGTAAGGGTAATGGATGAATGAACGTCGAACGATTCGGTTGCGTGACAATCTGCAAACACTGTTGTCCAGACACGAAAGAATTGTATCGCGTACTATCGTTTAGCAAATGAGACGAATTGACCGTGTGCGCATAACGAGCCTGAGCGAATCGTTGGGGCAGGGGTCCCTGGCTGGGACCCCAGGCGATCTGCTAGCATCTTCGATTGTGACAATGCGTCATGTAATCCTGATAGCTCACGGTGACCTCCTCGCTTTGATAGCGAGTCAGTTTCAGGCTACGACGGATATCGGGTGTGACTAAGCCTTTGAAGCCACCCTTATGTAGCAGAGAATCTATCGTTTGTATCTGGTCCCATCCTGAACATCAGATTACAGATTATTTCTCATAAAGGCGCCCCCGGGGGGAGGGAGGTTCCATTGCTTGTCCTATTCTACCACCACGGATACGCACCTTGCTCCATAGCTACGCTGGGCAAGTAAGTAGCCGTCCGTTTGTTACCCTTCTCATTGTGGAATTCTATGCGAATTCCGTGCACACCCACTTCCCAATCTAAATAGTCAACTCCGTCTTCAAAATGCCGCAAAATCGACACGCTTACATGCAAGCGCGGCAGCTCGTCTCGAGTTATAGGATTAAACCGAGAGTCTTTGAACGCGCTTTAGAAAAACATATAGAAACGTGTATCAAAAACGCATGCGAGACCATTATGCTAAATATCACAATTACGTAAGTAATGTAATGTAAATATGACATACATTATGGCATTTATATGTATATACGTGTAAAATTTATAAATATATATTATAAATATACATTTATATAATTTTATACATATAATTATACATCTATAAATATCTATCTTATATATTTATGATTTATATGTACATATTATTCTATCTTCTAATGTGAGAAACCTGCATGGTCTCACCTAGTTGTAGCGTACTCGCGTAGCCCAGCATGTAAGTGCATCGCATTAAAAGTACCAATACAACCTCGTAATCTCATATCTTTTCCTATTGTCCATGTCACAAATAAAGGGCTGAAAAGACGTATCTATATATTAAAAAATCTCATGTTCAGACACATTTGTTTTTATTTTCATCAGGCAACGAACTATCGGGGATGGAAAAGAAAAAAGCAAAATAAACCGGGATGTTTAATTTCTTTTGTATTTAGCAAGACTTCAGATTTACGACGGTATATAATCAATATACAAAATAAATAAGTATTTTTAAATAAAATATAATAAAAATAAATATAACAAAAATAATGACAAAAAATAATTTTTGGATTTATTATCTCGCAATAAATTTTCCCAAGGCTAAAATAACGGCACGATGCGAGGGTATTTGTGAGAAAGGCATCGCGATTCCCATTAACAAATGTTTCTGCAGATATGCATCGTAGCAACAAACGTAGCGTCCTCAGTGGCCTACATAGTTGGCATAGCGCTACACAATGAGAGAAATCGAAGCACGCCGTAATAATGCGTGCACCGCGCGCCGACAGATAATCCACACCCGTGAGGACCAAACAATGCACCAATAATAATGCATCCTGAACCGATTTCGCAGCTGGACTTCTAGATCAGTCAAATCGAGATCAGAGATGATCGGCTCAGCAGAATTCAAAATTCATTACGCGCGAACTAAATATAAAAATAAGAATCGAATAATATTATAATTGGTAGAATATCATTTTTTTTTCCGTATATCTCTGCAACGTCGAAATTCGATCTCCGTAATAATCGTCACGGTCTTTAAGACTTGACGTGACACGGACGACCTGTCATCGGAGACGAGCGAAGAGGCAACAGCTGACGCGACGCGCGAGCGAGACGGACAGATGGACGGACGGACGCAAAGGAAAGAGACAGAAAGAGGCAAACAGAGAAAAGACAGAGAGGAACACCGCGAGGATTACTCACAACGCTTCGTTGCTGAAGTTGGGCGCTTTCGGCGGGTCCAGCTGGTGCAGCTGGCAGTAGAGGACGTCGAAGCAGTAGAAGCCCATCTCCGGTTGGGCGATCGTCACGGGTTTCCTCGATTGAGGAGTGCCGTGCCGTATGGCGGTGCCGTCACACGGCGACAGGCTCGGCGGCGCCGCGGGGCCGCCACCGCCGCCGCCCAGCCTCTGCTTCTTCGCGCCGCAGCAGCCAGCAGCCATGTTCCTCTTGGACAGGTCACCAGCGGACACCGCCGTTCTAGCCCTCCTTCTGGCACCTCGTCTACGTGCTTCCTCGCCGCGGCGTATCCAACGTCGACGTCGTCGCCGACGCGTGCCGGATCGCGCCCGCGCTCCGCTAGATGTCGAGCCGACGGTGGTGTGAACAGCTGTTTCATTACCCGCCATTTGTAGTACGGCGTCCGCGTCATCGCGCCATTGATAATTATTAGCAGTTATCCCCGCCGCGCCGCCGTCGGCCGTCGTCGTCGTTCGTCGCCGCTGCCGCTGTTGCCGCGCCGCGTGAAGTTGCCCGCGGGTCATGCGCGAGCGAGATCAGTGGGCGGTGGCGTCCTCTGCGCCAATTTCAAATTTCTCATCGGACTCATCGGAAATATTCTATGATTTTTTTTAAACTTGTGACTAGATATCACAGATGCGAGCTATTTATATAGCTTTAATATTATACAGTTATTATTACACTATTAGGGCCAGTTTTATCAACGTCGATTATAAACTCACTTTTTCTAACTGTCCCCCTTATGTCCATTTCTATACCAATACGGATTAACTTTAATCTCCAGTTTAACTTTCTATCTTTTTATAATACTTTAAACTAGAAGAGGATAAAAAGTAAATTAAATCGAGATTAAAGTTATTTCGTACATGGTACAAATAAACATTAGACGTCGGTTAACTGTATAATCTTCTATTAAACTCACTCTTCATCTCTTTTTTAACTGTCTCCTTTATGTCTATTTCTATCAACGCAGATTAACTTTAATCTCGGTTAATTTACCTTTCATCTTTTTCTAATTTTAAGAGTTAGATAAAGATAGAAAGTAAGTTAAACCGAGATTAAAGGTAATCTACATTGGTAGAAATGGGCATTAGTAAATTATCTATTATTTGCCACAATAGTGATAATTTTTAATACAAAATTTTGAGTGAAAGATCTTCAGTATTTTTATTAACAATCTTTTAGTAAATAAAAACTACTAATGTTTTAAAGTGAATGTTTACGAAACGCGTCATGATTTCCGTCGTATTATCCGATTACATAATTAACATTACATTATTTTCATATTTTTAATATGCAATTATCAATTAATTTGATACTTTTTAAAAGTTGTTATTATTAATAATTTCATAATTATATAATTTATATAATTATATTTATTATTATTATATTATTATTATTATATATATTATATTATTATATTATTATGTTATTATTTTTATTTTGTCCCTGCCTACCCGAATCTCTACCTAAGTACCTACCTACCCGTATTCCGATCTATAAATAATCTTACTTATCCATTTTTCTACCTACCTTAACAATTTTCCTACCCTACCCTACCCTATAACAACCTATATATAACAACCTATAAATACAACATATCTTTAATTATTTAAGATCGCGACACGACTTATAAGGAGCCTAGATATATCAAACCACTTTGCACGTTACCATATGTATTCTACCATTGTGGTCAATGTTGACCACTTACCTTATTGTATTCAGTCTTCTTTCTTCGGGCCAGATTGAACCTTTTGTCATTTCTGGCTATCTGATTGTATTTCCACCAGATGCCAATAGAAAGAAGAAAAACTCGTTCCCATTGTCGGATTATTATCATTGCCGACAAATAGCATTACGTTCGATTCGAATTATATGTAAACATCGGTCGTATAAAAAAAAAGAGAAGATAATTAATTTAAATTAAATATTGATCTATAAAAATTGACTACACAACAATGGTCAAACAGAATTTCACTAATCCGTTACTTGCTTGAGAATATTGATTGACCGTCTTTGTGACTCGTTCATTTAATTTGGAATTGTAATCAAGTAAGTATATATAGACAAAATTTTACTTCGCGCGTTATATATGAATATTGATCTCAATTATATCCCACAAAAAATTGAATTCGTAATGTGGACAAAATAAAAAAATTAATAATGGAAAATTTCTCGATACAAAACCCGACCGCGAAAACCGACCGCAAAAATACGAAGATGAGTGATTGTGCATGTTGTTCATGCGATTCGCATCTTGAAAGTGTATCAAGTAAGATATACAGAATAAATAACGTGAGATCCGGAAAAAACTTCCCACACGATTGGTATTATAACTATAATACCAATATAATTGGATATTGTAATATTCAATAACCGCGTTGTTATATATAATTGAACAATATATGCAAATCTTTATAAACTTTATAAACTTACATATCGATATCTCGTTATATTTTTCATTTTTCAAAATTATTTTTAATATAATATATTGGTTATATGTATTATTGCAAAATTAAATATTTGGACTATAATTGTACTATCTACTCTAAAATAATTTAAAGAACTTTAGCGTTTTTCAACTGAATATTTAGGATCTCACGTCATTACTCGACTTTATCTAGTATAAAGCCAATTTCTCAATCAAAAATAGATGGATAGGTTACAAAAAATTAGGGTAAAATTGATATTTTGTTAAAATAAATTCTTTTTAATTAATAAACATCACGTTTTTTATAAAATAAATTGTAATATTTGTATGAAACGCGGCAGTTCATCAACATAATTTGATTTAATGATGATGCGAAGTGTGTGCGAGTATTTCCTCAAGCACAATACATCGATAAACAACACCAAGATTAAATATTTGCCCTAATCAGTTTTTAACCCATCCATTTTAAGGCAACGGATCTACAAGATGGTCGAGATGTAATATTTTTTATACTATAACTTATTATGATAATTTGATATATGTACCGAGACATTTGCTCTATATTTGATTAATCATAGATACGTTGCCTCAATAAAAAAAATTTCTGACTCACCACGCCGATGCGCAACGGGCGGAGTTATACAGCCACGTAGCTACGATGATACTGCAACATACAAACATAAGATTCAAATTAAAGAAGCGTTCAAAATAATCAACAATTTAAAAGATAATTCTTATTCATCTCTAATTCGTCTTTCAATGAGATATTTAGTAATACAAATACAATTATCTATTTTCCGAAAAA